ATATAAAGTAATAATAATAAAATATATTATATTATTTGATTGAGTTGGACATTTTAAAATGATTAATCATGATTAATTTAAAATAAAGGTTTAATTCATGTAATAAGTTGAAGTAGATAACTTGAAAAACGAAAATATGAAAAGGACACCACGTGTCGGACAAAGCACATATCTTCTAATAATCTAAACCGAACGCCTTCTTGCTCAATCCTTCGATATTTGAGTTGTCTCTTTCTGCCAGCCGCAACGCAACGCAACGCCACGCCTCTGCATTCTCTTTTTCATAATTCTAGGGTTTTTGCTCTTGAGTTTCCAGCCGGCAACTCACTGCCGTTGTCTCTAACAATCGGTCAAACCGTCTATTTCCGGCAATCAAGGTTTTCAATCCATCTTTTTAAGGTAAATTCAAATTAACATTTTCAATTCTAATTATGTTCTCTGAGGAATATACTTGTTGATGTTCTCGATGCCTGTTAACATACATGCATACGCACGCATCACTGTATGTGAACTCCGATATTAGGGTTTTGTTGAGGTTCTCAGTTGTGGGTGGAGAAATATATGATTCGTTGGCTGTGTCAGTTCTGTTTAAAGCTTGTAACCGTTACATTTGTCTCTGCATTTGGTTTTTTATTGAGGTTTTCAACACTTAGACCACAAAATCAAGCGGAAATTGACATATTGATGGGTTTTCAACTTTTCATTTCAGGTTCAGTTTGGTTTGAAGGAGAGGTGATCTCTCATTTCTCTCTTCATCACTTTTGAACCTTGGTTTCTTCTACTAGAGAATATGGCTTCTATGGCTCAGGTCCATTACCCTCATGTTGCCGGAAACTACCATCGTGTCCATCCTGCTTGCCACATTTCTAGCCTCCAATTACGTAACTTTGCAGATAAAAAGATGCCTTTTAGATCCTCCGTAAACATTACGCTTTTTCCTCCAAAATCACAGCCTATTAAACCTAATTTACTAGGTGAGTTACAGCCACTTCTCTGTGGTGGAAATGGTAGTGATGTTACTGGCGGCGGTGGGGGAGGAGGTGATGGTGGTGGCGGTGGTTGGAGTGGAGATGGAAGATCTGATGACGCATCCGCCTCTGATAGTTTTGGGCCGCTTGGGGCATTTCTTAGTGGGTGGAGGTCGAGGGTTGCCGCTGATCCGCAGTTTGTGTTTAAGGTCTTAATGGAGGAAATTGTGGGCGTGAGTGCATGTGTCATTGGAGACATGGCCTCTCGTCCGAATTTTGGGCTCACCGAGCTTGATTTCGTGTTTTCGACACTTGTTGTAGGATCTATTCTGAATTTCACCCTTATGTATCTATTAGCACCCACCATGTCTTCTGCATCAGCAAGCCTGCCTTCCATTTTCGCCAATTCTCCAACAAGCCACATGTTTGAGCCCGGTCCCTATAGCCTAATGAACCGTCTGGGAACATTTGTTTACAAAGGAACCGTTTTTGCAGCCGTTGGTTTAGCGGCCGGATTGGTGGGAACTGCTCTATCAAATGGGTTGATCAAGATGAGGAAGAAGATAGATCCTAATTTTGAGTCACCAAACAAGCCTCCACCCATGTTTTTGAATGCTATCACTTGGGCGGCTCATATGGGTGTGAGCAGTAATCTAAGGTACCAAACTCTGAACGGGATTGAGTTCTTGCTGGCAAAGGGGCTCCCACCCGTTGTCTTCAAGACCTCTGTGATTGGATTGAGATTGGCAAACAATGTTCTTGGAGGGATGACGTTTGTGATATTGGCAAGGATGACAGGATCACAGAACTCTGGTGCGGAAAAGAAGCCAAAGGAGGTAAGTAGTGATCTTGATAAAGAGGATCAGATTCAGCTAAAGTGAAGCTGGTGCATGAGAGGATTCAGTCTAACATAGCAATGAATTTCCCTCCAGCCAGGCAACTACTATCTGGTATGCATCGCATCTTTTTCATAATTATGTATAAAAGTAAAACAAGATTAGTGGTTTCATGAAAGCTGAATGATTTTTACCATCCCCCTTGAGTTGGGGTATCAATCAGCTTAGTTTTTGATGAGGATTTGATGGGTTATATAAGTTGATTTGGAGCAGTATATCTCTGTTTGCATAGTCATTTTATCTGTTAGAGTTGACTAGTAAGAATGGTTGTGGGATTACATTATGAAATCTGCAGTATGTAGAAATATATTAATGCAAACTCTGCAATGTTGTTTTTTAACCTTTTGGGTCATTTTTTGTACAAGTTTTCTGGTCTTATTCAACAAGTTTAACCACTGATGAGAGTGTAGAGAGGTTCCACCACCACTCTGATGAGCCAGGTGTCTGTGTTTTCCGCTGCTGTAACATCCATGGGTGCTCCCCTGTTTGCCGTCACCCACGGCAATGAAACCAAAACCCTTGTATCGAGTCTCTTCAGGGACAATGGGGTTTTTTTTCCCCGACTATTATGGGATTTATTCGAGGTGGTTTGAACACCCACAGTTACCAAAAAAAGAAAAATCAAAATCCTTTCTCAGTTGTGGATTTCCTACACCATCTTCAGCCATTTCAAAAGCAAAAAACACTTGAAACTGAAAACATCTCCCATGTCATTGGTATCCACATCAGTATTTTACGCATAAGTTGAAATTAGTCATGCCCTTACTTTATTTAGCTTAATTGCTTGTTGATTGTTGTAGTCACTTGTGTTTAGGTGATAGGGTTAGTGTTGTCAATACCCAACTTGGGGCATGTCCAAGGTGTCTCAAGTTTAAAATTAAAACAGGATTGAAGCAAGAAGATTAGGATTGGCCTAGCTTTGTTTGTATTTACTGAAATTTTAATTTTGTTTATTTTAAGAGGCAAATTCAGCCTCAGGGCCATTTCTTAGGAGGGTGGAACGGGCTCCTATCGAATATAGGAGTCCAAAATCGAAATGATAACACAAATTCAAACCCAAAACTGTAACCCATAATCAAACCTAAAAATGAAACCCGAAAAAGATTCATACCCAAAATCGAAATCGAAACACAGATTCGAACCTAAAAACGAACCCGAAAAAGATCCAAATCTCAAATCCAAACCCGTAAACAAACCCAAATATCATCGTGGTTTTCTGATCTTGGACCGTGAAGAAATGGGAACGAGATTCAAACCCAGAAACGAGATGATTGGATCGTGAAACCCATTGGTCCCTATGTAGTTGAAGGAGGTGGAGATGCTCAGTTTTACAGATCCATGGAGGTGCTTCATCCCGGTGAAACATATGCTTAGTCTAACATATCCATGGAGATGCTTGGTGCCGGTGATACAGATCCACTGAGATGCTTAATTTTAGATTTTATTTTATAATTTTGATTTTAGTTTTGTTATTTCTTAAAAATTAAAATAAATAAATATATGTAGATGTGTGTATATATTTAAAAAAAAAACGTAAAACAGGATAAAGAAAAAACTAAAGGTATAAAGACTAAAATACCTTTGAATTTAACTGGGTTAACATAATCTTTTGATTCGTTAGATGGAGAGACTCAATAGGTGTGAAATGCATGCTAGAGGTACCATTCTTGTATTTATTTTGATTTTGAGATCACTGTAGATAAAAAAAAATTGTAATCATAAGGACCAAATCCATAATTTACTCAAAAGATTAATAGATAACAAGGACTCGAAATGAATCAACTAATTAAATTAGAAAATAAAATCTAAAAAGAGTTAAAAGGCTATTCTCCTTGTTTAATGCATTCAAATCACTCTTTTGTGTTTGTCATGTTTCATAAACCTTTAATCACAAATCTCCAAAAAAAAAAAAAAAAAATTCAAATATTTTTGTCCATTCCTTGGCTATTAAAATTTCGTATTAAACTTGCTACATTTCACGAGATTAAAGCAATGTCTCATTCATTATTTCTTTTCTTCTTTTATCCCACATTCTTAATGATCCTCATTTGATTTTTTATCTAAAAAATCTTGATAAGCTTCTACTATTGTGTTAGCTCCCTTAGCCCAATCCTATATAGGCATGAGGATAAGGAATTTTTTTTCCTTTTGCCATCCTCTTCTCAGCTCCTTTTTGGTTAGTAGAATTTGAAGGATTCCAAGAGATTAAAAATGATCAATTCCTATGACCAAATCTAATTTATTTGTTTGGTTCAAATATTGAAATGGATGGAAGCGTTTAAAATATTTTAAATTCCACAAATTAATAAATTCATCATCTGTTAGCATAAATGAATGAATTGGATTCCACCCTTTTGCATCCAATTTAATCAACATTGTCTAACCCATGACACACCACGATTATGCTACAATATCACGCCCTCACCCCTAACACCATTACTATCGCCATCACTATCGCTACCCACCCCCAACCTACCCAACCCCCACCAACCAGTAACCACCAAGCCACTATTGACGTCATTGCACCCACCTACCCCCACCACCCGACCACCATGGAACCACTTTTGTGATAGCTACAACCTTGCCACCCACCCCCGCCCACTGATCGACCGACCATCATGCCATTACTGTCGTCACAACTGCCATCCCCCTGTCACCTATTCCACCGACTACTATGCCACTATTTTCGTCGTCATAAATATCACCCCACCTACTGACTACCATGCCACTACTGTCGTCGTCATATCTACAAGCCCCCTGCCACCCACATAGGTAGCATGGAAGGGATTAGGGGTGGCAATTGGGTAGGTGAGGTTGGGCTAGTTGTTATGACGACGACAATAGTGGCATGGTGGTCGGTGAAGTCAAGGTGGGGTGAGCCTACCCACCTCCAATACCACCAAGCCACTACTGTCATCATGACAATTGCCACTCCCACCCACCCCAGCCCACCTCTGACCACCAATATCATCATGCTATTAATATCGTTGTCACAACAGTCACCCCCACTCCCCCCTAAACAAAGCTGGAGATTCCAATTCTTGCAAGAGATTTTATTCCAATTCCTACCAACCAAACATGTTGTCAAATTATTTCAAAGTTAAATTCCTTTATTCCAATTCTATCAAATTTCATTTTTTGAATCAAACGCCCCTTCATATTCTAGTGAGGAGTAGGTATATCTTGACTTTGTATGATACGGGAATAAATATATGTTGGAGTTCGGATGAAAGTAGCCTGGTTCAAGTATGCTACATGCGTATCAATCATCTTGCATTTACTCTCTCGATTACTCTCTTCATATGTGTTCTCTTTTTGTATCAGAATAAAATAGGTTTTTGTTATGAATTAAGAAAACATTCTTACCTTTTGAAAAATCATGAAACATGATGGTCCAACTCATGTATATATATTCATGATTTCAAAACTATCCTTGTTTTTTCATTATGGACTTATGATTACCTAATATTGAGTACATGATCTCAAGTACTCTTCTATTGATAAAAAGCAAAAATAAAATTTGAAATCATAACGGACATAGGTTTTTGATTATTAAATTGATGGCTCCATAAAAGTTTGTTTTAACCCTAAAAGTTTAAAAATAACAATGTAAAACATCAACATGGGTGAAGTATAAACCCAAATTATTTATATTGTTCCATATAAAGTGCTATTCTTAACCATAAGGTTGTGGCATGGAATATTCCATCTATCTAGAGATCGATTTTAGACGTACATAACAATTGTGGTCTCTAAAGTTATTAGGGTTGATATCTTGAAATCCAGACATAGTCTGGGACACCCTTTAAAAAATAGTACTATTTTGAGTAACCAATATAGTGATCCAAAAGATGTCAATCTATATATGGAATCATATATATGTTTATATATATATATATATATATATATATAGAGGAGCGATCAAATGCTCAACAGGACAAAATATGGCTAGGTTATGTGGACCTAGACCTTTTCACCTAGAAGAAGAAATCGTCCCTTGAATCTGTCTTTTGTTTAGGAAAAGAGCAAAAGCCTGATTTTCCAGCTCTGCATGAACCATCTCCTTTTAAAAGATCAAAACTTGAGAATGGCGCCAGATCAAGGAGGCTAAAATTCAAAAATACCTCTTACTCTTCTATCAAAAGTATGCATCAATCAAAACAAGTAGATTTGAAAAGCATACAGAAGGAGGAAATTTTCTGCTTTGGATACCAAGATCAACTCCAAAGGATAGTGAATTCATACTTGAACCAACAAAGACAAGGATGGAAATGTTTCTAAAAAGGATTTTCTAACAACTCTGGATTTCGCAAAAAAAGTGAGACAAGTCTTTGAGCAAGATCTGTTTGAAGCTCTGGATAACTGCTCTGTATCTCAACAAAACAAGCTATAAGAGATCTCCAAAAATTCTTTCAAGTGTAGCTCTTCTATGCAAAAGGATTGAGAAGGCTTCGACATCTATCCATGGGAATCTCAAGATTCAAACCAATTGAAAAATCTCTCTGATGAATAATTTTTCAGCCAAAACTCAGATGAGATTCTTCAATGTTTAAAAATACCACAAGAGCTCAATGAAAACTCCAACATCCCAAGTCCTAAACAAGATTTTCTCGACTCTGACTCTGAGCCAGATGAAGACTTGGATACAGAGCATCTTGAGACCGAGATAGTGGTGCCAGGACAAGAGGTTAATAAACTTCCAAATGGGATCCCTTTTAAATCTGTTCCAATTCCGAGCAGAGGAAAAAGGTTCTCATATGTCGTGATTTCATGGATATATGTGTTTGAAAGCTAAATCTTGTCTTAAATAGCAAAAGTCTAAAACCTCTTACTCAAAACTTCTAGTTCTATCTATCAAAGCCTAAAAAATTCACTCGGGAATCGAAAGGTATGTGGTCGGCTAATGTTAAATCTAAACCCTCTATTTCAAAGGAGCCTCTGAAGGCTAAGGGAATGAAAAGGAATAAGAGAGGGCAACAATAGAAGACCAAGGCTGGTTTTAAAAATTAATCTGAACTAGACAGGAAGTTCACTAGAACGGCTAATGCTAGGAACGATTATAATAAAAAGAATCCTAAGTTTTATGGATCTAATGAATCTTTTTGTCATTAAAAGTGTATTCATAATTGAAAATGTCTAAATTTGTTGCCGCAATTAAAACAACACTTCTCAAGTCCCAACTGCATTATCTTTGGGTCACCCAAAAAGAAGTTTT